GGTAATGCTTAGGCTTATGAAACATGATCTTTTTATCATATTATTATTATTAGGAGAAGGATAGACGGTTATCCACAGACCTACAGACGGCCCGGGGGGCGGAATCTGAAGCACAACGACGCGTTAGGCAAATACAGGAGAGTCCTAACAGGAGGCGCCGCGGTCCGGGTGCGTTTGCCGGTGCCGTCATGGTAAGTAAGAAGAAGCCAGAGACCTCGAACCAACACCGAAAAAGGGTAAGCAGGTGCAGCGGTGAAAAAAGCAGAGAAACATCGTCAGGGGCATTTAGTCGAAAGCCGGAGCGCCGCGCCAAGGCAGCCCCAAAGCACCGGACCTCCCCGCGGCGAGCCGCGTCGTAGTGTGGAGCGAGAGCTCAACGACAGCAGCAGGCCAGCACTTACTAAGTGCGCGGGAAGGGAGCAGCGACACTCCTGCACAGTGCCGCCGCTCGCTCGTATAGTTTCCGAAAAGCCAATGCATCACTGACCGCAACCCACAGTCCCGTAGAAATAGCAGAGAGGTAAGCCGCAAAAAGAGAGAAAGCTAAACCAGCCAAGGCGAGGCACCGCACCACCGAAAGGCCGGAAACCTAGACAGCAGCGAGACCATCCCCGAAGAGGTCGTCGTAGTGCTCCACCCAAGCAGCGCGCTCAACTACATGCGCGCACCGAACGAGGTCCGCGAGTGCCGTAGTTGTACGTAACTGCGTGACATCCGCGCAGAACTTCCCGAAGAAGTGGCGAGGCGTGTCCTGTTCACCACAGTAGCAAGCCACAGGCTCCAGACCGAAGGGGCCAGCGTGTTTGAAGCGCGAACCAGACAGTAACTTGGCGGCAAAGGTCTGCACCTCTCGGGGGCAGCGAGCCTCCAACGGCGCAAGCGCCCCAGCCCCATCCGCTTCCGCAGAGACATCAGAGGGATCCTGGCAGAGTCGTAGGAACAACGCCCGCGCAGACGAGCGGGATAGCTGCAGCGCAGCAAGAACGTCGCCACTAACACTGTCATGCTGGTGGTCCAAGGTGACAAGCAGTCGGTGCTCCTCGGCGGCAAGCAAGACCTTAATCGCCCCTTTGACGTTCACAGACGAGAGGAGCGGAGGAGTGCACCCAGCAGCAGGAGCGTACTTGAGGAGGGCCCCAGCAGCAGCGTCAGCCACATCGTTGACCGGGTTCCCGATGTGCGACGGAGTCCAGTGGACAACAGCGGTATCGTACACCGCACAGCAACGCGCGAAGAGGTCCAGCAGCTCGTGCTCAGACGCGCAAGACCGCTCATGCCCAAGGTGCCGGATGGCCAGGAGTTGCCCGATTCCCAGGCAGTCGAACACCCAGAGCAAGGAGCGCGGCCCGAGGGCCAGCGGGTCAGCGGAGTCACGAGAAGCAGCGAGGAGAGCCTGCCGAAAACCACGCGCAGCAGCAGCAATTTCCATGTGCCAAGCACTGAGCGCACCGTTGACAGCGACGCAAGCAAGCTCAGAAGGGAGCGCCGAATCCTGACCAGAAGAGGGAACCCCGCGACCGAGTATGAGAGCAGCGTACGCACCGTAAGGAGTTCCCGGGAGGTGTGCGCCATCCGTAGCCAGAATCGTCGAGACGTCTCCGAGCTGAGGCGGGAGAATCCCATCAAGGTGGAAGACAACCGGACGGGAGTGAACCGAGGAGCGGAAAGGCCGCAGGGGCGTTATGCGATTGGGTGACCAGCCAATACCACGCAAAAGCTGAGCGCCGACAGCTGTCCAAGCCGCAGGGAGCCGCCGGATTTGGTTATCGGAGAGCTCCGGCGCCATGGTGTGCGCCAGTGGTCGGGCAGTCGTGGCCGGAGTTGTAAACCAAACGTGCGCACGAGAGACAGCAGGGGCAACAGAGGCGCCACACCAGATGGATCCACGACACGCGGCGGAGGCATAGTGGTTGTCCGCGAGATTACCTAAGGCGGCGACAACAGCGGCACGCGCGCAGCCGCTGGCCAAGGGGAGCGAGACCGGTTCGTTCCAGGAGACCGGGTGAGTGTCAGCGGGAGACCCCAACACGTGAGTAGGGCGAAGCCAAGCGTGTCGCGTCAGCAGCGAAGACCGGAAACTTGTAGAAGGACCACGTAAGACGCTATCCAGGAAGGTGGCCGCCCGTTGCTGGTACAGGTTGAGGTAAGAGGAGAGGCCAGAGAGTGTGTACAGGGCCTCGCGTCGGACAGTGCGGGAAACACCAAGGACCAAGCGCGCCGCCACGTGACCGATCCGGACGTCGTACCTCCGCGCAGCACGTTGGTCGACATACGGGCCGATCGCGACGATACCGAAGCAAGCAACGTGATGCAATAAGGCACACGCCGTGTGTGCTAAGAAGGCAGTGCTGAGGCCCCAGGAGGAGGATGCCAGCCGGCGCAGCACCTGCACGCGTCGCTGACACTTCGACACAACGTACTCGAGGTGGTCAGTGAAGGCGAAGCCGGGGTCGATGAGAACGCCAAGCACTCGCAGAGATCGGACCGTAGTAGCGCCGCCGAGGTCAAGGAGCCCATCGGCACCCCAGTCAGCGTCCACTTCCGCTCGTCTAGGGGGATACGATCCAGGGAGACGGTCGTCTTGCGGTCGCCGATGAGGGCGCTCAGGAAGGTTCAACCAGAGACATTCACACTTACTCCGTTCGAGCTTGAGCTTTCGCGTTTCCAGGAGCTGAGCGAGCCGAGTGAGGGCATGCCGCGCGCGTGTAGCCACCTCAGCACGAGTGGCACCCAAAACGTGGAGCGTACCGTCGTCACTGTAGAAGCGAAGATAGGTCCCAGGAAGTTGGTTGAGCTGAGCGGAGAAGCCGCGCACCATTAAGTTCCACAAGAACGGACTTAAGATGCCCCCTTGCGGGATGCCACGATGGAGGCGGTAGCAAGTGGAGACACCAGGGCCAAGGCGTACCCGAAAGCGCCGAACAAGCCATAACGCAACGAAGCGAGTGATCGCCGGCTCCAGGGTAAGCGTGGCGCCCAACCTGTTCAGCAGCGTGGAGTGGTCCACCGAGTCGAAGGCACCCTGGATGTCTGTGCCAATAATGGCCTGCTCTTTGTCGCCGTTTGTCGTTGCGCGATCAAAAAGTTCTACAAGCAGCTGCTCGCAGTTGCGCCCTGGGGCGTAGGCGTACTGGTGTGGG